GTCAACCAAAGAAAAGGGGCAGTAGGCGAGGACGCTTCTAACAGCGATAACAAAAAAGACAGTGCAAGTGCAAGTGCAAGTGGCACAGTGCACTGTCACAGTGCACTGTCACAGTGCAAGTGCAAGTGACAGTGACTATGTTAAAGGTTTTACGCAATATTTAGCTAGTGCACCACCCACAGACGGTTACGATGTTCCAATAGGCCCCGTACCCCAAAACTTCACCTACAGAAATGAGAATATACACTGGCAATCTTCATTCAATGTCCCAGTAGGTAACAGATTTACGGAATTAGTCTCCAAGGAAACCAATACGCTTCCCCAAGATAACCGCTTTAACTATCTTAAGTATTATCAATCTTCACAGTCTACGACAACCAATAAAATACCCCCAATTTTTATTGTCGAGGTAACTAACATCAACTCATTCGTTAATGAAATTAAAATTAACGTATCAAAAAAACTTCGTAGCTGAACAAAAAAAAACAAAGTGAAAATAAATCCCGAATCAGCTGAAGATTTCCGTAAAATCATACAATATTTAATCAACACAAATAGAAGATTCCACTCCTACAAAGACCCTGCAAACAAAAACTTGTCGGTAGTATTCAAAACTGTCCACCTCTCCATAACTGACAGTGAAATCTTACAAGATTTAAAACAAAGACACCCATCCATTGTTAAAATCGCCCGTCATCAGAAGGACAGCCATACCATTCCTGTAATAGCAGCCGTGTTCAACGGGAATGAACCACTGGAAACTATACTCAACATTAATCAAATCTGCAACCACAAAGTCACCACCGAAAAAAAGGACCAAAAGATCCACTACAGTGGTATAGATGTTTGGACTTTGGACACTCTAGAAACAATTGTACTCAGAAAATTAACTGTGCAATATGCTCTGGTAATCACTGTACTGTAACTTGTCCTGAAAGTAAAACAAACCCCACCTGTATTCTCTGCAAAGGCAATCATCGTGCAGGTGTAAGAAATGAGAACTGTTTATACTATAAGGACATTGTTGGAAAGGAAGCCACCCCACCCAATAACACAAGAAATCCATACGAAAGAACACCACCATTATCCATTAGCAACCAACAAGAACAATTTCCATCACTACTCCCTACTCAGCCAATTCGTAACTTTACTAGGAACAACCACCCCGTAATACAATCAGGATTCGTTAACAATATGAGATCACAGAGAAACCGTACTAAACAAAATCAACAAGATAATAATAATTACCTTTTAAATAAATAATTAATTCTATATCGTCCTGTATTATTAACTTCATAAACTCCCTCACACCATCAATAATCAATACAATTCAGAATATAGTAACAGCATTTTTAATAACAATGTCAATACAAGCCCATAGAAATATATCATTAACAAATTGAAATGCAAATGGGATCACATCCAAAAAAGTAGAACTTACTCAATTATAACACATGTAACAGACATTGCGTGCATAACAGAGACGCACATAAACAATAGTAATAAATTTTACATTCCAGAATACAAAATTTATAGAAATGACAGGACCGAACAGTAGGTGGCGCACTTATAGCAGTCAGAAATAACATAATCCATCATGAAATTAATATACCAAACATCACAGGAATTGAAACAGTAGCAATAACCCTAACAATGAACAATGAATCATGGAATATAATAACTGCCTATAAACCTCCAACAATAAAAATACAACCCCAAAATTTTCTTAATCTATTCACCTCAAACAAAAAAAACATTAATATCAGGTGATCTAAACGCTAACCACACAAACTGGGGATGTCGCACTTGCAATCAAGCAGGAAAAATACTATCACAAATTATAAATAATACCACTATCAATATATTATCGCCTTCTGAACCAACAAACTATCCAAGAGACTTAACTAAGCAACCAGACATCCTTGACATCGGACTCACGGACGGAAATATCAATTTTTCTCAACTCCATATCACGAACTCGACTCTGACCATCTTCCGGTAAATATACTTACTCGACAAATCCCAACCCCGCGATCCCCAATCCCCTAAATAAACCACTTAAATTAAACTGGATTAAATTCCAAAATATAACCAGCAATTTAATACCAAAAATTAAAATGTTTAATTAATTATATAGAAATAGACAACGCCGAATATTACTAAACACCATAATACATACAGCAATAACAGAAACGCAGCCCACAAACACAACAAAATTAATCATTCTGCTCTACCTGCAGAAATCAAAAACATAATATGCGTCAAAAACAGGACCA